GACTACTAAAATGTATTGATTCTATATTCTCAAAAATTAAAGTAACTCCTACATCAAGAAAAAAACATTTATAACAGTGATTATCAATTTATATGTCTAGTAAAAAATCTGATACAAAAAGACAAAAAAGTAAAAAATTTTGAATAATGATAAATAAATATTAATTAAAAGACTTGCAAACTTAAAATTTGAATAAGGTTGGAATGAGTTATCAGTAGGAGAATAGGATGTTGATCTAGAGATACAGTAAGAAATCTAGATGTTATGATAGATTTGTTGGTTAAGAAATTTTATTACGAATTGGATCACATGTTGTCACATAATTGTTTGTTTAGCATTACATTATGGCACAGAATTCCCTCACATTACATCACATAATTTAATTTTTTGCAGAATTTGACTTTTATTATCATGTAACATCGACAGTTTCTCCTGTTGTGTTATACTGCAGCTTATATCATATAGTATAAAAGGCTATCGCTGTTACATCATTATCAATAATAATAACCACGCGATCACTGTAAATAATGAGCAAGATAATATTACTGATAATGAACAAGATACTATCATTGCTATCAATAATAATAACCAAGCGATCACTGTAAAAAATGAGAAAAACCCCACTGTAAATAGTAAACAAGATACCAAAATAAAAGGCAAGGTTCTTCTTATTCCCAAACTGAGCATAATTGCTATATATAACACGTAAGAAACTCACATTGAAACAAGGATTCCTCTTCATGAATTGTCAGTTTCTTGTCTAAGTACAGTTATAGTGGAAATAACGAATTTCCTTAATGAATTGTGGGTTCCTATTCCATGCTATATTTCTTGGCTTTATGGTCATCATAATATGTGTGGATTGGCCGCTTACCATATTAAGGTTATTAAAAGTACTAAAGAAGAATTTAATAGCATAGTTAATTGCAGTGGTAGCATAATTTTAATGTTTAAGTTGTTGCTTTTTCCGCTTTATATATTTTTCTTTGCTTTTTAATGAATTGTAACATTTTGGATCATAATATAATATATTCGGGTCCGGATCATAATTTTGGTAAACATGATTATGTGACTTAAGAAATTCCATTACAGTATTCGACACTTGT